AGCAAACATGATTTTATTGTGAGAAGTTTAATGTTGCATGAATCTGGCCAAGATATTTCTGTAATTGTATACTTTGATTTTATCAAGTGCAGTTGACTGAGCGTTGGTTGAGTTAGAAATTTCGAAATAATCGATAACGCTTTACTTCCGTTCTTATCACCTGAGTGAATATGAAGCGAGACTAAACCCAAAATAGGTAGTTTATTTAAACGGTCATAAACTTCCGAATCATTTAACTTAACCAGTGTAATTGATCGAATTCGAGTGAATTGATTGATATCGAAGAGTGAGAAAAATAATCTCATCTGGGCTGATCTTTTTGATCGGTCATTAAATCTCAATGAAGTTATGTTTTCTGGTTGTACAAGTCGAGAAATCCTTTTCAAATCATCTGATAACATCGAATTAGGATTCATCTCATACCGATTATATTCGCTGATAATTTCGCAGAATCGTTTGCATACCAAACGAAGCTTGAAAATAATGATGCGTACATCAAGATTATTGAAAATACGGTGCAATACTTCAGGAGGTAATGTTAATAAAGACGTAACTGTCATTGGACTATTCATTCTGTGAACAAACAAAACAGTTCTTTACCAAATTTATTTTAATCGCTAATGTATTCAGTTGTCAAGAACACTTTCCACTTATATCAGTTTCACTTGTGTGTCTTTACACAGACGATTTCTTTCTTATACGCCATCAACGATAGTATTTACGACATGCTATTCTTCTGTCCCACTGATAAGAGACAATATATTCAAGATAAGCTACATTTTCTCCAAAATTGAAACAATAAAAGAAAGGTGATATTTACAAGCGGTCTCTGAGTGTTAGAAAGGATGAATCTGAGGGATAGAAGGAGAACCTATAACTACATCTGATAGATTTCCAGTTGTTTTTTCGGCATTATTTAAGGTAAATTTATTTTCCTGATGAAGTATATTAATACTACTTCGTGGACAAAAGTAAAATGAATTCAGAACAGGATTTTGCCTAATAGAAGTGTGAGTCTTGCCATTGAATAGTCGTTATAGCGATGCAAAAATTCAAGAGTTTCTCTTGAGAGTGTGGGTGTGGATGTAGGTCTTTTTCACCATTTATCCACATCCGCGCATCCAGACACACCCACACCCAGCTACAGGAAAAATTTACTCTACTATTATAAGGGCAGAACGTGATGTTGGTCGAGCCATATGAAAGAGGATCCCTATAAATCTCATAATCAACCCGAGCAACACTATGTTTTGTCCTTATAATAATGGACAAACTCATTCCTGATTCTTTTTTATACCTAAATTTCACATACCTTGGAATTCAAAGATCTCTCTCTAGGCATACCAACAGCACGTCATATTTTGAATTCGTTAGTTTTTCGATGAGAGTAATCATTTCACCCGAGCAAGATCAAGCTTGCTGCTCAACAGTTCCCGACCTTCCATTGTAAGATACATCAACGTTTTTCAGATATTGATTCGTCTTTTCAAGTTGGGCTTCTTTTTCTTTCACATATGAGCAGATATTTATTTTTCGCTCAAACAGCCTCTTCAATGTGAAAAAGTCAAACGACAAACATTTAAAAAGAACTATAGGAAATAGAAACTCTAAGTATGAAAGAAATACAATATAATCAACATAATAGTTCATAAATTCGAACGATATCTCTTATAATTTCACTTTGAAAACGTTTATAGTCACTAGACAATTGTCCGTTTTCTATGCAGTTTTGATATGATTTCGAGGGTAGTAAAACTTTCTATTTTTATTTTTTTATTGGAAGTCATAAACATTTCTCTATTATTTTATTGACGTCCGATAAGAGGCATTTTATAGTTAGTTTCGGTATGTTGGAAGAGCCACTTTTTTGTATGAATAAACACAGTAGTCACTCTATTTTAGCGTCTATAAACTGCACATTATTCTAGCTAGAATTTTAGAAGAACAAAGCTCAATCGACAGTTATTTTAATCAAAAACTCCATTAACATTTAAAGATGAAAAATTTTGTATTTTCGTCTCTTTTCAAAGGAAATCTTTTTACAGAGACTGAATCCTATACGAAGCCCTATATTTTCAAAAACTTCTAGTCTGAGACCAGATTTTATAGTGGTATATACTCAAGCCCTCAAATAGGGTACAAAATGTGTCCTTCAGGGTACAGAACATTTAGATGAACAAAAAAATGAGTTCGAGACGTAAGCTGAAAAGTTCGAACTCACTTAAGTATCGACATGTTACCACTAAAACATCTTCNCTTCAGGGTACAGACCATTTTAGGGTACAACATCTCGAAGTGAGGTACTGTACCACAAAATGGGGTAGAGTTGGCAGCCTTGTATTTGACGAAGAAAAGAACAGAACATGTATATTAAATATGATATACAGAAACAGTAGCACTATTTCTACTGTGAGTAAACGTCGAATCGAATCGAATCGAATCGATTGAAGATTTTCTCATTCGTTTCACGCTCTGGTCTGAATCAATCAAACGTCTTTTGAAGAAACAACAATCAAAATTTGCTGTTATTATTGCAAACTAATTTATAAAATAAAAGAATAGTTAACGAAAATAAATTACTTTCGTCAGCATGTTAAGTCAAAATATCTGTAGGAAAAGGTTCCAATGAAATGGTCGGCCCATGGGCACCAATGGGTAGGCCGATTTTTAGAAACCATGGGCTGGGCCTGGCCGGGCTAAAGATCGACAGCCCATGGGTGGGCCGGGCCAAAGGTCAACAGTCCATAGGTAGACCGGGCCAAAAGTTGACAGCCCATGGGCTGACTTTCTTCGGCCCGGCCCGGCCCATTGGGACCTCCGATTCGTTAGTATCTCGATGAGAGTAATCATTTCATCCGAACAAGGTCAATCTTGCTGCTTAACAGTTCCCGACCTTCCATTGTTAGTATCATCATTTTTAAAATATGGAAGATGTTTTAGTGGTAACATGTCGATACTTAAGTGAGTTCGAACTTTTCAGCTTACGTCTCGAACTCATTTTTTTGTTCATCTAAATTATATCAAACAAGTTTTTAGTTCAAATGAAAAGAGCTTGGAGGAATTCAAAGAAAAAGCAGGACAAATTGATCGATTGAAAACTGGCTTCACTCTGATACATTTAGTTTAATAGTCCTCACGGAAAAGGAGCAAAACAGATATATTGTGGCAAATAATGGACTCTACTTGGATTGGTTCATTTTTTCTAGATGAAGTGAACCATATTTCTTTGACTAGCGTGTTTGGGTCACTTCCTATGGCCTCTTCTTTTAGTCAAGGAAATAAAATATTTTCATTAAAGTAGATTGTCAACCGACTATGAATCAAATTTCAGTTACTTTGAGAGAAAATAAAATTAAAATGGAATTTTTCGATTGAAGAAAAGAAAATAATTTTATCTAATTGAAATCTTCTAAAAATTCAATTAAAATTTTTTTTTAATTAACTTAATTTGTTGATGATCGTGTTAGTCTAGAGAAAATATCATTTTCATACTGAAAAACATACAAGAATATTCAAGTAATAATAAATACTTAAGGACTCACAGATGAAAATAGCGAGTGGATGATGAAAGAACAGAAAAAATATTCACAGAAATGGTAACGTGGAAAGTGAAATCATTTTAGGTTTGACTGAGGAAAAAATTCGTATGAAAGTAACAGGAAAATAACTAAGATTGACGTAAAGCCATTGCGCTACGGAATGTCGCGATCAATAGACATGTAACAAATTCAGACAATATAAAGAAAACCAACGAAGAGAAGAAGATTGCAAACAAATTGTTTCACGTTTCTGTTATCTTCACTGTAAAATGGCGAACAGCTTCATAAACGTTACTTTTTGTAAACAAATGATTATTCAATGTTATAGTTGCCAAAAAAACTTTTCAATACTTTTTACACGATTCGGTCATTAGTTTTAATAAAACAATGTTAAAACTGTCTTACATTCGAGAACCAGCGATCGAAAAATTCTCAACATTCAAATATCGAAAACTGTTATTTGAAATGGCTAATCGAGCTTCATTTATTGGATTACCATATGCGTTTAATAAATATATTATAAGTATTCAAACAAACACTACATTTAGTATCGATAAAACGCCACATAGATATATTGGTCACATTGTTTAATAAGCGTGAATTATGCAAATATTTCAAGAACATGATAACTCGAATTTGAATCAACAGATTCTGCCAGACCAGCTATTATCGTGTGAACATTTTATTCAACCGCAAACATCTGTAAATGAGAATTAAAAACATCAACAACATAAATGCTACCCATTGGATTAAGTGTTACACCGATCAGTCCATATAAAAGTGCTGATGTGTCTCCAAATAATCTACTAATACTACCAACAATAAGTGTTCACATATGCTTATAATCTAAGTTTTCTTATCTCTTCAACTACACCTCCAGGATCTTTATACAGCCTACTGCAATATTGCGTCTATCTTTGACCGATGTCATGCTTTAACTGTAATGCTGTACTCTCTTGGTCTCGTACAAAAATCCATCAAGGACAAAGTCCTTCATTAAAATTTTCATAGTTTTTTTCCTTTTATATTTCGGATTTTTACCATGAATAATCATTATCGAAATATACGAATGCAATACATAAGTCAATATTAAAAGTGGTAAATAGAATGTGTGCGCATGCAAGATATCGTACTGTGAATTTTTTCTGTTCTTTTGTTCGCTCTCGTCCACATTTCTCTACTCATCTTACGAGTCGCCGTTGCTGTCTATTCTGAAGTAATATAAATTCATACTAGCATGTTATAGCTTATAATCCACCGCTTTTCAATTTTGAAACAGATTTAAAAGGGTGAAAAGTACTAAAGTAAAGTGTCAGGTAGTAAAGAACTGTATTTCTGGTTAAATAGTGTGATCAATATCAATCTGTTGGCAGTTTTTTTTCCATTTTTAAAATAGACAGGCCATTCGGATTTAAATTCACGGTGTTTATGTTTCATTTTAGTTTAGAAGTGCACTAATTTATGGCATCCAAGGATGAATCTTGTGAACCTTCAGATGACACAATAAAATTTTCAATTTTGCAAAAAAAGGATAAATCTGAATACAAACCTCGTTGTGGAGGTCGTGTTTGTCCAGACTGTGGAAAGTGCAGTGATTGGTTTTATACTGAGTCCGATTGGGATCATGTTTGTAATTGGCAGAAATGGAGCAACAAGGATTGGATGCGTTATGGTGAGCATGTTGTTCGTGTTAATAAGAATGATAGATATCGAACAGCTTGCTCTTGTGATTGTCCCGTTGCTGATTATTATCATTGGCAGTATCGCTCCGGTCCTGAATGGGATCGTCATAGCGGTAAATCTCATTGTTGGCAGAAACGTGAAGATGCTACATGCAAATGTCCTTGGAGTCTTCCTGGTTATGGTTATACTAGTGGTGGTATTTATCAAGGTTGTCTTCATCATCATAATCGTGATTATGGTCCTTGGTGTATGTGCAGAAACAATATACCTGAAGAATATTTCGAGAAAAAAGCGCGACAGCGTTTCCCCTCACCTCAACCCAAAAATACAAAATCACTTATCGATATCGATGATGTCGAATAAAAGCATTTTGCTCATTCACATTTTGATGCATAAAAGATTTTTTTACGAGAGAAATCCATTTGTAAATTACTCCTAGTTTGCTTCAAATAGTAAACGATTACTATCCGTCCAGAATTGTCCATTTTGGGTGTGGGTGTGGGTGTGGGTGTGTGGATGCGTATGGGTGTGGGTGTGGGTGTGGGTGTGAGCATCAGAAATATTATTCTTGAGCCACACCCACACCAACACACACCCACACCCACACCCACACAACCACACCACCCACACCCACACACCCACACCCACACCCACACACACCCATGTCCACACCCACACACCGACACCACCCACACCCACACACCCA